TACTGAGACCAGGCTCTCCCACCTGCTTCTCTCCATCTCCATTGCCACCGCCTTAGTAGAAACCTTCACACTCTTCTCAGCAGTTAGTTGCCTCATCAGTCTAATTCCAGTCCTACCCCTTTTTATTCCACGATCTGTACAACTCAAATCCACTAAAACGTAAATAACTAGTTCGGCCAAACTGACTGCAGGATCTGTGGATAAACGTAAAAGGAACCCAAACTTCTCAGGACCAGGCCCTGCTGACCCTCTTCCCCTTTACTCTAATTTCCCCAAATCCTATAATTTGCAACACAGAATACTCTTTTGTCTGAAGGCATTTATTCATACTTGCAGGTCCTACCTCCTGGAATGCCTTTCTAACCCCTCCCACTGTCTTAGCTGAAAGGCTTGCCCCGGTCACAATAAATAGGTTTTCTTCCTCCAGATTAATCTAGCTTTTATCAGTCAATTTGTAAATCGCTGCTAATTTTTCTTCTAGACTAAAAACTCCTCAAGGGCAGAGAATGTTTCTTTGTCCAATAAGGCCCAGGGCTAACACAAAAACTTAGTTAAATGAATGAAACAGCAAAAGTTAGAGCAACTCCTACCTTTAAGTCAGGTAAACAGCCTCAAGGTCCCAAGGTGAGTCCCCCCAGAGCCACACACTACTCAACTCCTTCAAAGCCCAACCAGGCAGACTACTTGAAGAGGTTAAAGGCAACAGTTTGAATTCAAATAAACCCACCTTCTTTGCCCACGGGGAACTTAGCATTCCTTTACATTTACCAATTTACTGAATTCAACAGCAGAGACAAGGCTACCACCACATTGCTGACTTTCTAGAATCAGCTAATTTTTTTTTTTTAGGCACAGAATATTTGCCCCTTGAAGGTAATTATAATATTCTATTTGTACTCAAACACTAAGTAGTATTAATATATACTGAATCAACGCATACACACTGAAAAATTCCACATCGGGAATATTAAAAATCTTTAAAGAAAAATCTTTAAAGGGACTTATATAAAGGTCAGGTACCATGTACCATCCCAAAGGCTTTATGTGCAATTTCTCATTTAATCTTCACAGCAACTCCATAAAGAAGGTATCATCACCCCCTTTTACTGATGAAGAAACTGAGAATGAGATTAAGTCATCAGTACTGATCACAGGCAGGATTCAAGGCCCATTTGACTCCAGAGCCCAAGCTTTTAACCAGTACAAAACCACACGACAACTGTTAAAGATCTTGAGATTGTTTACAATATACGCACCCACCATCACACAAAAAGAGAAAGAACAGAACAGCAAGATAAAATGCTAACAATGGTTATCTTCTGAATGGAGCAAATAGGTTTAATGGGAGAATATGAACACATTTTACTTTTAGACAGAAAACACATAAACAGGAAAAATGGTATTTAGGTGGTGCCAATAGCAAGTATGGTAGGCTAGGAGAATTTTTAATGAACACTTACTAGGAGCCAAGCACATCAGCTATCTCATCTAAATGGTATATCCAAGAAATGTTATTTTCATTTTATGGACAAAGAAACAGAAAGATTGAGTACCTGCCTAGTGAAAGAACTGGGGCCCAAAGCCCAGTTCAAATTTATTGACCACAGGATACCAAGTTACAGATAAAGTTTAGCCAAAAATGTTGTCTAAAAAATAAATCACATTCTGGGAAAGAATCAGAACCAGAATCAGAACTAGCCTGGCACCCGCAGTGAAAGGAAGAAAGACAGAGGCCTGTGGTTTAACTTTTAAGTTTTAGTCATAACTATCTCTACAAGTATCTCAAAATAGTCAGGAGCATGTATAAAATCAATCTTCTCCATCAGGGCTGTGGGAGAAACCCACATCTGATGGGAAGACGACTCCGGGCTGCTTTGCCCAGGCCAGAGCGCTGTTAGCATAAACTGAATGGACTTAGCTGGACCTCAATTGTGCAGGCAGTGGAGTACTGGCTTTGGGAGCAACTTGGCGCCTCCAATCCAGTCTCACCTATTCATCTATTGTTTACAGGTTCCCAGGTGTGTGGTAGAGAGGGGGGGAAATAGGTGTTCTATGTCTGAGGACACTGTTCTGTGTGCAGATAGAAATGACCTCTCATCCAAGACTCTGGTTCTTAACCCACTGAGAGCTGCTAACCCTGGGGGAACATCTGAGATAAGGAGTGATATTTTTTTTTCAAGTAACATTTAATTTTAGATGCTCTGACTTAGAAATTTTAAAAATCCATAGAAATTGTTATAGGGCAGCCCCCTAACAAAATTTCATTTATTTCAAAATAGTAACAATAAGATTTGCTGGGAAAAACACTTGGGGTGGGGTATAAAAAGTTGGAGTGGGGCATACAAATTTCCTATACAATCTTTCAAAGGAAAGAAAACCTGATTGTTTGATTTATTTACAAATTAAAATTAACATCTACTTATGAAACTAAATATTTAATAGTGGAAAAGTATATTCCCTTAGCAATTTTAAATAAATTCATTTTTTGCCCTGAAAATCTCTTGCTAGTTTCAAATGAAATGTAACTTAAAAATATTAAACTCACTATCCTTTCAGAATTAAAGTAGCCTTTGAGGTGAACAGATTAGAAATTAATACATGCTTGGGAAATGGTGGGGCAAAAGTACAAAGCTTTGGGAACTCGTACATATACCTTAAAAAAGGTATGAAGCAAAGATAAAGGGATTTTTTTAAACCTTAAAATGTTCTAAGGAAAGAGACTCAATGATTTCTTCCATCCAATATGCTATACAAATAAGGTCAAACTATAAAAGAAGTTAATATTTTTTGGTACACAAGGCTATTAAAATGTCCAAGTCACCGAGCAATTTCAATTAATTAATAAAGTTAAACAACCATTAGATGTAATTTGCATTTTTGTATGAAATCCACACAAATCTCAAATGTCAGAATTTTCTTAAGTAAAATGCTAAGTGACTGGATAGCTATCATTGTGGAGAAACACAAGTTTTACTTTAGGCAGACAAGGAAAAGACTGACACTTAGTAAGAATCACAGGAGATGACTCCAGACACAAGTCAGCACTGACAAGTCAAGCATTATCTAGCCGTTGCTCTGCCAGCACCAGCTTTTCAGTAGGGAAGAGTGCTCTGGGTCTGAGCTGTCAGAATGTGGAAACCTTCTGCTGCCTAAGTCCAGCCTGCTACCCAGGCAGGACACACACACACACACACACACACACCCCTACACACCTCACTGCCCCAGGAACACTAAAAAGAGAAAGGGAAAACAAACGAAAGAGGAGAAATAACCTCTCCAAACATGCCCACGTGGGTGTTGGTAGCAGGCGGAAGGGTACATTTCATTTCATTATTCAATAGCATTTCAAGTTCAATACTAAAGAACAAACAGGAGGTTAAGTGGAGCCACAGGAAAAACCCCATCGCTAAAAATCTGGAAATCTAGATTTGGAAATTTAAGTGCTCTACTTAATTTTTTTTTTAAACTTTCAAAGTGCAAGTCACTAAAATATTGCTAAAATTGAATCTATCTAAACATGGGGGTTGGGGGGAGAGGAACCCTACCAAAACCACACAAGTGCCAGCTATGTTCAGAGCTCCCTGAGGGCTGTTCCACAGACCCCACCAGAGTTTGGACAAAACAAGTTTCCTTAAAATCCCCATTTTTTTTTTTTCCGCATTTCTAGGGTCGATTTTAAGAGTAGCACATAAATTCAAATAGTTGTTATCAGAATAAATAAACTACTGATCCTTAAACTGCAGACGTAGTTTCAGGAACTGCTCTGCCCACCTCCACTCCCTCCTCCGAAATTTTAATGCTTTCAAGCGTTTTGACAACCAGGGTCTCCCCCGGGCTCTGTTCACGTGTTTGTTTCACCGGAGAGTGACCAAGTAGGGCAGGAAACTCCCACCTCGGGGTCTACTTCAGAAATCCTGCCCCCCTCGCTCCTCACCGCTCCCTACACCTTTCCCAGGTTGGGCTGTTCAGAAAAGAGGGGGGGCGGGGGTCTTGAGATCCAAAGGAGTTCGGGAGGAAAGGAGGGTGGGGTGATAAATCCGAAAATAACACCCCCAGTTGCTGAGGCTGGGCTAAAAAAGGCGAATTAGGAAAGCCTGCCCGGTACAAATACTACCTGAATTTACCTCCTCCCCTCCCACTGCAAAAAGCCCAGTCACTAACTAGCAAGCTCAGAAAAACCCCTGGAAAACTTTTCCAAACGGGAAGAGCAGGCCCCCTCCCCAAGCTGGGGGCTCGCGGGGAAAGGGCTGGAGTTTGCAGCCCTGGAAGGGCTCGCGGGGGAGCGGGGTGGGGCGCGGGCGATGGGGTGCAGGGGCGGAGTACCTTCAATGGACAGGAACTGGCAAAGAGTTTCAAAATAGCCGAGTGCTCTTCCCCGCGCCCTCGGGGGTCCCGAGCGCCAGGACCAGGGTCCCCAAAAGGCGAGCAGCCCCCAATTCGGGCCTAAAAGGAAACTTTCCGGGCCGCGGCTGCACCTGACTCCTCACCGCCCCTCCACCCCACCCCACGCCCGCCAGGCCGCCCGCCCCGCCCCGGCCTGGCCGCCCCGCGCGCAGGAGGGGGAGAAATAAATTCAACTATAACCGGATTTGAGGGGGGAAGCTAGAGGCCCGGGGGGAGGGGTAGGTGGGCGCCCTCCCCCCAGTTCTAGGCCCAGACGCCCCTGTCCCAACAGCCCGGGCCTGCCCCGCCGCCGGGGCGCCTCCGGGCCGGCACTGGATCGGCCCGCAGCGCCGTCGTCCCGCCCGGAGCCCCCGAGGGGCCCGAAGGGGCGCCGGGAGGCAGGGGGTACGGGCATAGGGCGCGGCCGCCGCGGGGCCCGCCGGCCCGAGGCCTAGCCGGCGCCCCCCCACCCCCACGTCCGCCCCACACCCCCAAGCCCGGCCCGCGCAGGCCGCGCCGCTCGCCTCGCTCCGGCCCGGGCCGGACCCCCGCCCGCTCGCCCGCCCGCCCACCCGCGGGCGCCCCCGAGGCCCCCGGTCCCCCCGTGCCCGCCACCCCGGCGCCGGCCCCTCTCACCCTTTCATTCTCTGCCCTGGGCCTGGCGCGGGCCGGCGAATCCCCGACCTCACGTAAGCGCGCTCGCCGCCCGCCCTGTTTGCGCGGCCCAGCCCGCCGCCCTACGGGAGCCCGGGGATGTGGGCCGGGCCTGGGGCCGCCTCTGCTTACCTTTCAGCTGCTTTTTTTTTTCTCCTTCCCCCCTTTTCCCTCGGCTGGGCTGACAGATCAGAGTGAGAGGCGCTGGCAATGGACTGGGAAGCTCGGCTGCCGCTGCTACTGCTCCCCCCTGGGCTCCGGCGAGAGCCTTGCCCTGTCAAGCAAGAGGGGTGAGGATCATATTTTTATTTTGGAAACTAAAAAGTGCTCCCAGGGTCGGTGATTATTAAGGGGAAATCCCTGAATATACTCTCCAGCCAAGAAGGCAGGGCTGCCGGGTCTGCACAAGAAGAGGCAGCAGCCTCCTACAGCACCACTACAGGCACTGCGAGGACATAACACCAGACCGCCGCTCCTCTGCCCTCCGAAACGACAACTTTCCTACCATCTTGGAGGCAGAGCAAAGGGGGGCCAGGGGGAAAAGTGCACCCGCTCCCGATAAAGTACAAATTTCTACTTCTCGTCTTTGGAAAAAAGTCCGCTCCGGCCGTCTACACCGGCGCCTGGGGGAAAAAGCAGGGAAGAAACTGGGGATGCTTGAGAAACGTTTTCATTTGCACCTGGGGGGAAAATGTTTCTGCATCTTCTGATGGAAAGAATTCTTTACAAGACACAGGTTTTCCGGTGATTATTTTCTATTTTCTATTTAATTTTTTCCATGTGAGTGACAGTGGTGTTCTAATTTTTTTTTTCAGGCTAATGATAATTTTTCTCCATTATAGATCAAAGTTCTGTGTCTGGTGGTCAGTTTATGAATTTGTACAAGTGACTTGATAACCACTTTGTTTGCTTGTTTGCATGTTTATTATAATAGATATATTTTATCTGTTTCTTTATATTATATATAAAAATGTGCGGTATGTATTGCCCCTCAAAACTCACATTGCCGAAGGACAGTTGTGAAGGGATGTCTTTTGTCTTCTTTTCTTAAAGCATTGTTAATAAAACCTATTGATTGTCCTGAAAGGCAAGATATAGCTGTTTATTTTTCACAGTGCAAATAAAGGCAGAGATGGAAGTGGGCACTTACATACAAGTTAGGTATAATTGTCTTTCTAGAAATTATCTTAATTGTTATGATCTGCCCAGAAAGGAGGATCACTGTCAAACTGGGAATAGATTTTAAAAACAGCTTTAGATTTTCTTTTAAGTAAAATGGCTTATTAAGAATTATATCCAGGCATTGAATTTTTTAATTCTAATTAAAAAATTAGAGTCTTTAAGGTTTTGCTCTTTGGTACATTACAATATGTTGCTGTCCACTTTGTGTGTCACAGAATTGAGAAATGTGTCTATTTTTATTAGAGTTGAAATATTGTTGATTCACCACTTCCAGTGTGCTGCCTGGCTATATAAATGACTTAATATATTGCAACGAATGTCTTGAATCTTCTTTTTCTAAAGAGCAAAACTTAGTAGATAGGTAGAATCAAAAGTGCACCTTGCTGGGGCTGCAGAGGTGAGGGAAGGAGGGGCACTAGAACATTTTCTTACTGGAGGGGAATAAATTGCAAGGATTTTTTTTTTTTGAGGGGGTAGGGGGTTAAGCAACAGAAGAGTACAAGAAGAATCCCTATAGATCTCTTTGTACCTGCAGAGAATGATGAATTGAATCTTGTACTAAGTTATTTCTCTGACCCATGTTGGCTAACCTAGTAGGAATGAATTTGTAATATTAATGCCTTGAATCAGTGGACTAATTTCTTTCATTAAAAATTTATTACAAAGCATTTAGAAATAACTGGTGACTTCATTTTTAAGACGTTTATTTTTTAAGCATCCAAATTTAGAGAGCCCCTTAACTGTAAATGAGTTCAGATAATGCATTGTCAGATACTTGTTATTTTCACACTGACCACCATCTTTATCTAAAATTGAATATAGTAGCTTTAATAGTCTGGGTTTTCCTTGGTAGTTTTTTTATTTTCTTTCTCTTCGGTAGAAAAACCCAAAATAATTAAAGCAAAATTAACTGATTCTTATCTCAGAAACCTAAGCTGTGAAGTAGATTCAACTTATACTTTTTTTTAACATTTGGGCATTTTTTGGACATTAGGTTTGTTGTTTTTTTTTTACATTAGTTATATATTAAAGATTTATTTATTTATGCATACAAGAACTGGGGTGTAAGCCAGAGGTGCAAGGGGACATGGGTGGTGAGAGGAGTCACCAGAGAGTGGGGAGCAGAACAGGCAGATCCACTGATATACACTGCTGAGGGGAGCAGCGGGCAAGAGAGACAGGAGAGGCCTGCTGCGCCATGTGGGTTGCTCCCTGCCTGCTGAGGATCCAACTTGTATTGCAGTGGCTGGAAATAGCTTGAAAGCATTGTCTTTAACACCTGCGTCACCAGGGAGGCCCCCTACATTAGTTATAATAAAGATATTACTTCCTTTGGGCTTCCCTCATGGCGCAGGGGGTTAGGCACCTCACTATGAGGCAGTCCGCAGCCTCTGCAGCACCAGTTCGATCCCTGGCTGGCCAGAGAGCAGCCCATATGGTGCAGCAGACCTCTCCTGTCTTGCCCACTGCTTCCCCTCAGCAGTGTATATCAGTCAGTCTGCCTGTTCTGTTCCCTACTCTGTCTCTGGTGAATCCTCTCACCACCCCCATCTCTGGCCTGTACCCCAGCTCTTGTATGCATAAATAAATAAATCTTAAAAAAAAAAAAAAGATATTACTTCCTTTAATGTAGGTAGAACTCTAGTGGACTTGAGAAACATGTTTTCCAGCAACTTACTGTTCCTTTTTTTTTTTTTTAACTTACTGTTCCTTACAGATGGCATGATTTAATAGGTATGCTTTAAATTTTTCAAGATTTAACATGTTTGCTCAAGCTGATTGCACCCTTTATTGCAGTCCCTCTAGTGACCAAAGAAACTTGTTTATGTGACATTTGTCAAGGGAGAGGAATATGCTGCATGCTCATAATTGAGCATTTCAGTGTCTTTCCTCTTTGTAAAGCTTGACTAGTGCGTGGCTGCCATTCATGACTTTCATCCACCATCTAAGTACTGTAATGCAGACGTGGGGAATTACTGCTCAACTAAGAAGGGAATCCCACCAAATTTGTAATGTTGGCATAGCTGACTGATTAGTGTTTATTTCAATAAATAATTATACTCTTTGGGTACTATGTCTCCAATTCCTGGAAGCTGCGGGTGCAAACAAAGCTACTGTCTTAATTATCTCTTATTTTCAACCAATATAATTCCCAGAACTTTATTGAGTGTCTAATGTATCTTGATAACATGCTAGACACTTTTATATATGTATTCACATATAATTCCTCCGAGAATTCAATAGGTACTTTACTTTTTTCTTTCACCTTTCAGATAGAGTTGCGATAACTGTCTTCACTTTCAGACAATGAAGACCTTCTTGGCTGTAAAGTTTTATAATAAGGTTCCAAATCTTCATTCTGCTCTGGAGTTTCTCAGTTTCCTACTATAGCTCTATGCTGTATATCTATAAATACTCAGTTCCTGCCATATGCTCTTTACCAAAATCAAACTGAGTAGCCAGCATTTAGCGCCTTCTAAGCTCCTTAGTGGCACTCAGTGGTGACTCATTTCACCCTAATGAAGTCTAGAACCTATGTATATCTGTTGTTTTGAAGAATGCAATATATTTCTCAATTGAAATGCATTGTGATTAAGAGGGACTTGCTTCTTGGTCTGGAAAATGAACAGTATGTATTGTAAAGCACTAGCAATTGTGGAATTAGGCCATTTTGTAAAAGATCTAATGAATGGATGCCTGAGTGATCTGCAGCCATGACTGTCTACGTTTTGTGTGTGTGTTTTTAAGATTTTATTTATTTATTTTTGCATAGAAGAGCTGGAGTGTAGGCCAGAAGTAGGGGGGAGGGTGAGAGGATTCACCAGAGACAGAGGAATGTACTGAAATACACTGCTGAGGGGAGCAGCGGGCAAGACAGGAGAGGTCTGCTGCACCATGTGGGTTAGCCCCCTGATAGCACTGAGTCTTAACCCCTAGGCCACCAGGGAGACCCTTTTGTCTAAGTTCACCTATCTGATACTTGGAAGTGGTGTCTTTTGTTATCATGCTTTAATTTTACAAATAAAGTAGCTTGTTTAGCCTTTAGCTGAAATAGAAAAACCCTTGCCTTAATTATTTTTACTATTATAAGGCTCTTTAATTGATCTCCCGTTTAGTATTAATGATTTTAATTTTGTAAAAATTACGCACCTTATTGTGTATACTACTGTGAAATTAAGGACGCACCAGTAGTATCCCTTAAAAATTCTCATTAATAGACTGTGACTTTAAAATGAAAGATTTGTGTATGTTTGATATATAGATGCCTTTATTAGTGAGTGTTTGCTGACAGACTTATCAAATATTTAAGAAGACAGAGCAGACAGGGCTATACAATTAAGTAACGTTTCTTTGCAGGAGTAGGGGTATGGCTACAAACCTTCCCTAATCAGATAAAAGTTTTTTCTAACACTCCCAAAGACTGTAAAGTTATACCTAGAGCCTTTTACTAGTTGGAAAACTCGCAAAGAGGTAAAAAGCGTGTACCCCCTAAAAGGTTTCAGATTACACCATTGTGATCTCTGTAAATACCATACTTTTTTTCACTTTAAGTAGTAGTTCTGTTTTGGAAACATTTGTTGGTTATGTTTCTATCAAAAACAAAGATTTTGGTTTTATTGTAGTTACTGCTCCCTGCAAGAAAATGTTACTGAGAGAAGCATTGTGTTTGGTAGACATCCACGTCATCGCTTTAGATTATCTGAGTGTGAAGTTTCTGTACGATAGATCCAGCTATAGTCAAAGCACACATGATCAGATCATCTTCACATTCTAACACCTAACTTGGGGATACTCAGATCCGGACTACACCATGATGCCAAGTCAGAAGCCAAAACAATCTCTTTTTTTTTTTAATTCCCACAAGAGCCAAGAGATATCTGGAAACCAGCTGAAAACACTGGCAGCAGCAGGGACAAGACATGTCCCAGATGTCTTTACACTGCCTTCTCATCATGGTACAGGGGTGACAGGGACATGGTAGTGTCCCATTAACTTCTGACCTTAAACTAAGGAAAACTCAGAAGTCATATTTTAAGTAGTGATTGGTAAAAAACGCTCTGATGCGATATTAAAGATAGAATTTGGGTAGAATTATAATTGAGTATCAGCCTTTTCTATATAATGAAAACTCTAGGTCCCAAAAGTGGTAGTTAGCTAAAACATTGTAGGAAGAGAGATCCAGAGTGCTCAGAATAATATACAGAGATCAATGGAAAGGTGACAGTATTCAGTTCTGCCATATTTTGGCTAGGCAAGGCTTTGTAGACCCACTGGGAAGGTAACCACTACTTTTTTTTTTTAAGATTTATTTATTTACATACAAGAACTGGGGTACAGGCCTGAGGTGCGGGGGGTAAGAGGATTCACGACAGAGTGGGGAGCACAACAGGAGGAATGACGAATCCACTGCTGAGGGGAGCAGCGGGCGAGTCAGGAGAGGTCTGCTGCACCATGTGGGCAGCTCCCTGGCCAGGGATGGAACTCCTGCTGCAGTGGCTGCAGACAGCTTCACAGGTTGTCTTAACCCCTTGTGCCACCAGGGTGGCCTGGTAACCACTATTTCTATGACAAAATAAACTCCAGCTCTCAAACAACCAATTTACAGTATGTTTTGAAACACAGCCTATTAATAAGTTTGAACTTCCTGTAGTGTACTATCTTTGCCATATTTGTTATAAAATGCCAGAATCCAATAGTAAAACTTGGGGTGGGGGGAGCTCTCCTTCAAATAAAATAAGGAGTAACTGTGAACATAATTCAAACAGCTTGGTTTAAATTCCAAGACAGGGCCTCCCCGGTGGCGCAGCGGTTGAGCGCTGGGTTGCGAAGCTGCCCGCAGCCTCCGCGGAGCCGGTTCGATCCCCGGCTGCTCCCAGGCCACCGGAGGAGGGTTCCACA